AATTTGTCAATTTGTCAATTTGTCAATCTATCAATTTGTAAACTCCAAACATATAAGGAAATTCTTTTACCCTTACCCTTGAACGGCGACAGTCAATTTGTAAACTCCAAAGAGATCCGAAACAATGCAGCACCAGCGCTTTCTTATCTCATCTCATCTCATGAGATCAAACTCACCTCTCACTTTTTCCTCCACGAGAGGGTCCGAACCAAACCCTTCAGTTTTTGGCTGAACTTCCTCTCCAATTTCTTCGGTTTGGGAGCAGGTGCTTCAACCGGAGAAACAGGGGATTGATCCGGAAGGGATGGTTGACCTGGACGTTGCTTGCCGTTTTCATCCTTTTCCTCTACACTTTGTGGAACCGCAGGTTGACATGGACGACGTGACGCGTCAATTTTATCCTCGTTCTCTTTGAACGGATAGTTCGGATGTTCCGATCTATCGATAGACTTGCCTTTTCCGTTTTGATTATTAAGAACTCCTGTTCCTAAAGATTTTGGAGGTGTTTGGACTGTGTAGTATGCCTGATATTTCTCCCACTCTGTTGTTGTACGAGCGTTTTCCGGGATGGTACATCTCATGCATCGATAACCCAATACCTTGTCCGGCTGTCGCGCATAGAATCGACATATTTGAGGAGGACCGATACCTTCCCCACACTTGATGTAGGAATTGACTTTGCACCCGCAGGTGAAGACTTCGACATTTTGAAGACATATTTTGAAGGTTGAGGTTGCTGTTTGTTTGTTCTGCTTGGGTGAGTGTATGAGTGTTGTATGGTTGCTGTGTAAGTATTGTGTATGGGTTGGGAAGTGAATCAATGGATTGGAGAAAAGGAAAGCAGGGAGAGTAAAGGAAAACCTATATATATATAAGAAAATTGGCATTGTTTGGATATTGTTTTCACATTCAAATATTCCTGTATCTGATTTATTACACAACAGAGTTCACCTTACAGAGGATAGAAATCGACGTGAACAATATCAGAACAATGATTAAACTATCAAACCCGTTAAGTTGCTAGTGCGATTTATTCTGCTAATGTTGTTCATTCGCAAGTAGTTTAAATCAGATTTGCCTTCGAATTCATACCGGTACTTAGGTTTATACAACGAGCTTGATTCTCTACCCGATTTAATAACGCCTGTCTAAGAATTTCCATATCAATATCAGATTTGAATTTGAATATATAGTGCCTCGATCAAAATAGTCTCGGTTTCAACAAAAGTAAGTCATTGAATAAAAAATTAATAGATTTATATTAGTAAATGATCAAATGAAAAAGATTCTCTATAAGATAAAAGTCACAAATCACAAATCTCACACTTCAAAATCACAATTCACGCAATCACTAAACGAATATTCTCAATGGAAAAAAAATCTTATTCTTGCAATACTACTTCGCACTCACATAACTTTTCCGAAGCTCGGTACCAGTACCAGGACCAGTCTAGATACTTTCCTCTCTCACCCCTTCCCTCTGCTCACTCTACTCTCACATAACCGCACAAAGCCCCCATTTCTTCATTTTCTTCCGATAGCAGGAAATACATTTGCGATCCCGATCAATGTAGCGCCATTTGTAGTCGGGACAACGGCTGATATGATAGCAATGCAAGGGGTTGCGACGCTTATAATCGCAGTACCGGTTATTCACGCTAAAGTGACCACAGGTGAATTTGTAATGGTTGCGGTTGCACATCTTTGCGATTGGGGGGTTCTGGAGTGTTAGTGTGGACAGTGCTGGAGATTGGGGTTTGCTGTGTGTGTGAGTGGGTGTTGTTGCTGTTTTGGAAGTAGGATTGGGAAAGCAAAAGAGAGAATGTGCAAGAGGAAAGGGGGACGGGTCTATGTATGAAGTTAAGGGTATTGTTCAGGTGCAGTTCTCGATTCTGTAGATGAGGGTTGCTTTTGGTGCTAAGATTAGCTGGAATTGAGAACAATATCAGAGCAACGTTTTATCGTTAAGATTGAGTGTAACTATGCTGAGGTATTTATCGTTCCTTTTGTGTAAGTAAGGCCTTGAGAAAAACTTGGGCTAATCGAGATAACATCCGCTTGAAATCATTGTTCAACCTTTGGGATTCGCAGAGCCTTAGGGCTACTTTGGTTGTCATTTTCCATGCTCATTTTTGGACTTCCTTGTGAAACAACCTATACGTTCTATTCCTATGCTTTTGGATACAAAAATTGGATTGTATATTTAATAAATATTAATGGAAAGGGGGGAGGGGGAAGGGGTATTAGAACATTTCATGACTTAAAACTTATATTAAACATTCTAGGCTTTCTATAGTTTTATATAAAGTAGAAGAGAAGAATGAATAGATAAAAGCATCTTTTGCTTTCTTATTTCTATTATACATTCTATTATTTTTATAAACCTTTACCATTTTTCGAATCTTAAAATATCGAATATTTTAAATGTTAGATGGTGAAGCTATCCCCGCTTTCGCTTAAATAATCACGTCATGCTATTAATATGTTCCGGGCCATAGCTCAATATCCCCATTGTGAAATGCCCTACATACATTTCGAAATGAGCTAGGTTTCGGAGTGAGCTAGCTCATACGATTCATGAGGGCATTCCGAAATGAGCTAAAGCTTATTCGCAAATGCCCTAAGGGTCCATTTTACCATATACTAAGTTGATTTCGGAATGCCCTCATGAATCGTATGAGCTAAGTGCATTTCACAATGGGGATATTGAGCTATGGCCCGGAACAAATAACAACGAGCCTGAAAACTCTACTTGAAGGTTTCACTTTGTTGCATTTCCTTTGGTGATAAGAGAATGATTTCAATGAATTTAATACACTCAAATATAAAACAAATCCCGGTTTCTTAGCCCTTATTCCAAAAAGTCACAATCTTGAGGACTGTTTTTCGAACAATACCTGAATAAGACTTCTATGACTGACAGGCCGTTACCATGCACCTCTTGTTATCTTGTTGATGGTATGAAAAGGGGAAGAGACAATAAAGGGCTCGAGTCGCTCGGCTAGCCATGTATACACCACTTTACAGCTCGAGTGTATCGAAAAAGCCTGAGCCATCTATTGAAGACGAATATGATGAACATGTAACTAATTCTATTACTAGAATCTTTGTTTGAAGAATGTACTTGTTTCGCTGATACTTTATACTGATAACAGTAACACGGGATATTCAGAGATCATTGAACAGACTTTAAACAATATCTCTTCTGGAAGTATAAATGTCCCCCTTTGAACGTACTTTCCCCTTCTCTCCTCATCATCTTGATCATCATCTGGATCACATCTTGATCATTAACACACACAAAACACACAAGACACAAGATCAACATCAACATCAACATCAACAAGAAGACAAACAACATCAACACCATCGCCACTATGAAAAACATCTTCATCACCGTGTGCTGTTTGCTTGCAGGCATCACCATCGCAACCAGCAACGGACTTCCCGAAGTTCCCACAGAAGACTGGTGTGGACGTCCCGGACAAGCATGCAAGCGTGCTCCACTCGCTGAGGCTGTTGAGGCTGTTGAACCTTGGTGCGGACGCACTGGACAAGCATGCAAGCGAACCCCAATCAATGAGGCTGAACCTGATGAAGCTTGGTGCGGACGCACTGGACAGTACAGGCATGCAAGCGAACCCCAATCGTTGAGACTGAAGCTGATGAATCTTGGTGCGGACGCACTGGACAAGCATGCCGCAAGTACAAGCGGGCAGCTTGAGTCGCTAGGCCCCCAGGATCCCCCATCAAACCCAATCCTTTTGAGATCGACCACAAGAATCTCGAGAAGACACATGAGAGGGAGTTGCCGGGGGTGAGGATCTCAGGAAGATTTAGGACCTGTTGAATTTCAATGAAAAATTCTGAATCAGGGTCGAGCTCCAGTGAGATCATCTTGAGTCAGAAGGATGAGGATGAGAAATGAACACATCTTGACCCATGACCACAAGAATGAAGAGACTGATCAAGAAGAATGCTGAGGGAAATCCAAATTGATCTTTTTCTTTTGTTTTTCCTAAGAGGCTAATTTGAATCACACAACAAGAACCCCCCCCCCCCCCCCCAAAAAAAAGTAAAAAAAAAAGATTGATCAAGCAGAACACTGAGGTCCTTTGAGGTCCTTGGGATCCAAAATGACAACTTTTCTTTTGTTTTTCTTAACAGGCGGCTAGTGGGAATCATGTAAAAAGACAAAAACCAAAAAAAAAAGTTTGTTTAAGAAGAACACTGAGGGAGTCCTCGGGATCTGAATTGAAAACATTTCTTCGATTTATTCCATCACACAGGAGCCTCTTGAAATCACCACTTTCGAGGAAAAAAAAAAAGAAACAATAATAATAACAATAAAAAAGCCTAACAAGGCGACTAAACCCAAATATGCTGTAAATCCCAAGGTAATGACTATATGCAATTGACTATGAATAATAACTATATACAATGTGAAAATGATGAAATAAGACTTCGATATAATAATATATAAATAACACTTATAGGCAGCATCCTTGTGCTGCCTCTCTACTCTATATACCAAACCTACCTCTTCATCTCTCTATATCATCTCTCTCTCTTCTAGTGCTCGGTTCAACTTTCCCCCTTGGAGAAAGATATAGATAGAAAATGATACGAGAAAGAATTTATAAAGAGATACCGGTCGCAGAAATTTAGCAAGAAGGATAACCTCCCTCCCTGAAGCGAGATTCTTTTAAGCGAGATCCCCCAAAGCGAGCTTTAGTATAACTCAGACTCATAAATCCAAATCCAACATCAAAATATTTGTTTATCTCATAACGCAAGAGAGGAAAGAAGGAAGGAGGATGTATGTATGTTTGTAAGAAGTTCAATGAAATTATCATTTGATTCCATTCCTACTACGGAATCGAGATGTTTGTTTTGAATGAATCGTAGATGAGAGAGTGTGTTTAGAGGAGAGTATGTCCTTATACAATATCCGCTTGGATGTCTGAGAATTCCCTTCTCGCATACACCAGTATTGGATGAAGATCATGATCATCATGTTGGTGTAACACCGATTCGAGATTCGGACGACGACAGTATAATTCAATAAATAGATCACACTGATGATTGAGATACGAGAGTGAAGTTAAAGAGGATTTCTCATTTCATGTATATAAGAATAAAAATAAAACGCCAGGAACCCAAGGTTATATACAAAACACCACATCCATTCCTATGCACAATTATCCAGTCCGTTTATGATCTATCATTTTATATCATCCATCGTCAATCACCCTATGTTTAGCAGTCCCATCTACAGCTTTGCTTCCAATCCGATAGTTGATGTTGAAGTCGTACCCATGCCCTTCAATCCCTTTGGTGCCAAGATAATGTTATATTCGAGATCCAATTCTGCCTTGGGGTCGCCATGGCGGGGCTTGAAATCAACGACGAGATCTGGCTTTACGGCAAAGACGGTATCGGTGATGAGGTATGGGTCGGTGTTGGGGTAGATTTGTGTTGTTACTGGCTTATAGTCTTCGTTTGAGATCTGCAGATTCATGCATTAGCTTTGAATCATGTTAGAGGGTGTAAAGTAGCTTACCATCAAGTGAATGTGAGCTGGTCTCATTGGGTGACGATCAAGAAAATTCAAAAGAACACCAGCGGGTCCGTCGGTTGGCAGAGAGTATGCAGTTGGGTGCAGGCAATAGAAATGATATTCTCCGTTCTCGTCGGTCTTGAACTTTCCTCTCAGGTTATTATCGGATTGGTTATCAGGGTCTTGGAAATCGTATTTTCCATTGGCAGACGCTTGCCAGATGTCAACGACTGCGTTTACAATTGGCTTCTTGGTGACTAAATCGGTAACGGTTCCGTGCATCAAAGTAGTCTGGCCACCTTCTGGTACTGGGTCCTGCATGATGCTACCGCCAAGTGGTCGGAATGGGGCGTTGGGGCTCCAGAATGGGCCGAGAATTGAGGAGGAGGTGGGGGTCTCGCCAGATTCGGTCATAATATGGTGTGCGATTTCATCAACGACTCTAGAAATATTGTTAGATATGATTGCGGAGTAACACATCTTGGGTACTTACGATTCCAAGCCGAGAACATCGGAAATGCGGTGACCTTCATTTCTGGTGGGAGTGCTGATTTGTCCAATGGTATTGACGAAGTTGACTCCGGTCAACCATTCATCAATTGTGAGTTCGTTCTCTCGTGCGTAGTCGTGGATATGTTGGATGAGAGAGCCCATCAATTGTCTTGAACGGGCATCAGTCTTAGGACCAATAGATTTGATGACATTGGTAGTAAAAGTTGGGTCAAATCTTTCGAATCCCTTTGAAGTAGTATTCTCTTGATGTGTCGACATTTTGATGTTGATTGAAGGGGGTATTATATATATAGATGTTATGGTCGGATGGTAGTGAAGTGAAATGAGGATAGTATAGTATAGTATATATAGTATAGTTGAATGGATACTGGATACAAAGAAGTTGATGATGATGGAACTTAACTATTTATCTCAAGGAAGACCTATATATATATGAATAATTCCTCCAACTATCCTCCCTACACTCATCCTAAAGTTGGGGACGAATGAACAAGCATCTAACGAGTAGTCCGTAATACATACTCCGGAATTGGTGATTGAATGACCCCTCCTTCCTTCCAGTGATGGATGGATCGGGCTGGTTGAGTTGAGACGGTACTTTAGTCGGCTGTTATCGCAAAACAATAAAACAATTGTGGATTTGGTTTTAAAGTAGCACGGAATTGATATTCGGGACTATCTGAAATGCTAATTGAAACCAAGTCACGGTTTGGCCGGAAGTATCTTTTTCCACGTTTGAATGGAGATGTCCGGAAATGTCTTTTACCGACTCCCCGGATTACGCCCCGCAACTTCTATAGCTATGGGTCCCGCCAATGGCAATCCAGGGGTTGTATGACAGTAATGTTGTTAAAAAATAACAAAACAAACTAATTTCAGCTATCAGCTCATTATAGAGAGAAGTCGTAACGAGATTCCAATTTTATATGCAACATTTGACTCCTGGTACTTACTTGTATTGATTAATTGATTGTATGTTCAAAAACTCATTTTTCCGCCGATTTTGCCCTTCACAACCGAGGAGAATGCTTCATCATTTGATGGTGGGAACTTGGACTTCTCCTGGTGCAATCTTTACCATTGAGTTTGATGATGAAGCATTAACCTTAAAACTGCTCAAGAAGACATCAATTCCAGAAGATGAGCCAATTTCTTGGATGACGTTTGATGTAAGCTTGTATTTCTGTCTGATGAGTATGTCGGCTCTCTTGGTTGCCAGCACGCTGACCAAATGCTTTTGTGTACAGCATGCGAAGAAAAACATATATGGAGCTTCAATGAAGAAATGGTCAAGTCATTCTGTTACAAGTCCCGCAGAGATTCAACATACCAATTCGCATCCTATGTCCCATGACCGTATGTTACTTCCTCAGTTGATTGGATTGATTGGGATGTTTCCTCATACCATATGTATACAGCCTCTGCAGCGAAATCCGATACGAGAACAAGAGCAATTTTCTGCTTAGCAGCAAAGAAGGCACCCTATAATGTTTACGGCAATCCATTCTACGAGTATGCTGGACACGGAAATGTTTTCTCCGTCGATGAGAATGGCGCATTAAAGGAAAACATTCAAAACTATGAATACAGTTCCGAATCCGCAATACACGGCATGGTGTTTGACACAGAAGAGAATTATCTTTATTCTGCAGATATGTGGGGCAACAAAGTATGGACGCATAAAAAAGATAGCCAAACAGGTTTACTTGAGTTGGTGGGAAGTGTAAATGCACCGAAAAAGGGAGATAATCCTAGATGGGTTGAAATACATCCAAATGGAAAATATCTTTATGCTGTGAATGAAGGAGGAAACAATTTGGCAGTCTATGTCATTGATGAAGAAACCCATCTGCCAGTATTTACAAATATAACATACCCTCTAGTCCCTCCAGGTATGCATTGTCCTTCCCCCCCTTCATGATCACACATTTTTTTCGCTTAGCGACTGATACATGATCATAGGGGTTCCAAATTTGAAGTTATATCGATCAGATGTTGTTTTCACTTCGCATAGTGGTAAATATCTCTTTGCAACATCACGCTCGAATGATTTCAAAGTTACCGGCTACATAGCAGCTTTCAAACTCGGATCAGCTGGAAATATCGAAAGACAGATATGTCTGAATCCAACACCGACAAGTGGAAGTCATTCAAACGCAGTAAGTCCTTGCCCTTGGAGTGACGAATGGCTGGCTTTGACGGATGATCAAGATGGCGGATTGGAAATTTATAGATGGCATAAGGAGTTTCTGCATAGGGTTGCGAGAATTGATATCCCTGAACCTGGTTTTGGTATGAATGCTATTTGGTATGATTAATAGATATAGATAAAGACAATATTATTTAGCATATAGAATGAGAGATGAATCAAAACAATCAGAGTACAAGGTACTTATTTCCACATGTCAATTGGAACTCTAATTGAAATCATTGGATGCCTTAGATTTAGCAAGGCATGAATCCAACCCCTCGTCTAGAAAAAAGCCGAAGGAGCTTTCCGAGCCAAACACTACATGTGCCGGATTCCTAACCGCTGTTAAACTGCCGGCAACTCTTCAACAATATGGGGTCAATATTTTTGAATGATAAATCCATATGGAGGGGCAGATATGGCCGTGTGCGACGGTTAAGCCTTCTGCCCTCTAAATCAACCCTTTCCGTCCACTGCGAAATCGTTGTCATCAATACAACCCTCCTCACCCCCCAACAAAACGATTGATCTCAGGATTGAGTCAATCTATACAGAACATTTCTAACTACTTCCACACTAAAACCTCATACCATCTCAATCATGGCACCCATACCCGGAATCCTCTATGTCACCATGCAACCTGAAGAATCTCTTACTGATTCCCAATTGCACGACTGGTACAATAATGAGCATGGACCTCTACGATTGCGTCTCCCCTTCGTCACAAACGGTTTTCGTTACTGTGCAACCGATATATCATCTTCCACTCCTGCCTCTCCATCGCATCCAGAATGGATGGCCATGTACGATGTCACCGACATGGCTGCCATGAACACCGAAACCTATCTTCGACTCCGCGGGCCCAAGGTCAAGACCGATAGAGAAAAGGAAGCAATGGCACAGATAAAGGTGGATAGAAAGCTCTATGATTATATAAGTGGCATGGAAATAGACGGATATAAGAAGGTGGAGGAAGTGGGGTATGAGGAGGGGAATTACGTGGTTGCGTTCACGGCTGAAATCAACGAGGAAGTAGAAGAAGAATACAACAAGTGGATGGTAGAGGAGCATCTGCCAATGTTATCGAAGATCCCGGGCTGGAGACGTACGAGACGTTTTGTTACAAGCAGCATACTAGGAGGAAAAGAAGGAAAGGAATATTTGAACATTCATGAGTTCGCGACTCAAAACGCTGCGTCAGGGGAAGGAATCAAAACTGCGATATCAACGGAACGGTCTCAGAAGATCATCGCAACTGCTTTCAAAACCCAAAATGCCAGGCACTATGGTTTATACTATACATTCGGTGCCGCTCCTCGAGATATCTCCAACTTCTCCAAATCTTATTCAACGAGTTGGAAATCGATTGACGAGAAGACAAGTACTGGACCAAACGATATTGCAGAAGGCGGAGTAATCGAATCATACCTCACAACGCCAGATGGGGTTGATCTCGCATACCGACTTGAAGGATCCTCCGACCCGACATCTCCTCTTATAATTCTCAGCAATTCTATCCTCGTGACCTATTCAATATGGACCCCCTTCATCCAAGCATTCCTTGCATCACCCACCGGCCAGAACTACCGCATTCTACGCTACAACGCCCGTGGCCGCACATCGAACCCTGGCTCTCTGCCCGTAACCATCGACCTCCTCGCTTCAGACATCATTAATATCCTAGACACCCTCCGCGTTCCCAAAGCCGCCTGCTTAATCGGGGTCTCACTCGGTGGTGTTACCGTTCTGAACACTGCTCTCAAATACCCCGATCGCGTCAATGCTTTCATATCCTGCGACACAAATGCCTTTGCTCCTCCCTCCAATCCCAAAGCCTGGGATGAGCGCATCGCCATGTCCGCAGCCGAAGCTGCCTTATCGCCCGACGATGAACACATTGTAGGATCGAAATTAGCGGAAGTCACCACGCGCAGATGGTTCGTGGCCGAGAATTACGAGAATGAGACATTGAAGATGAGATTCGGGGATGTGAAGAGGCAGGTTGAGGGAAATAGTTTTATTGGGTTCAAAAAGGGCGTGAAAGCACTTTATCAGTATGATATTAGAGAAGAACTGAAGAACCCGGGTGTGGAGAAGGCCTTGTTTGTGGTTGGGGGCAGCGATGGTGTTTTGCCAAAGACGATGAAGGAGATGGCGGGGAATTATGGGAAGGGCGTTGAGTGTAAGGTCATCGAGGGAGCGGGTCATCTTCCGATGGTTGAGAAGCCGGGGGAATTTGCTGATCTTTTAGTGAAGTTTTTGGAGTGAATGGGATGCTGATAGACCCATTCATTGATTAGTTTCAAAAGAATCAATATTCAAGTCAATTGCCAGTCTTTCAACTCTGGTGAATGTCTATCCGGCCAGTGATTCGAAATAGTTCTGGGTATACTCAAGTATATACACATAGAAAGTTGTACACAAGAATTACAATCGTCCTCCCAATATTTCCTCGAAATGAAATACATACATACGAACCATTTTCCATTTCCATTTCCATCTCATCAGCTTCCATTTATTCATATCCATTCACTTCATTCACTCAACGAAGAATCGACACAGACTACTCGAGTATATTGAGTACAAAAATAACATCAATATCAATATCAATATCAATAAATAGCTACTTTGCCAGAAGAAAAAAAAGTATATGATTCAAATTATTGCATGTTCGGTCCATCCACTATGTATGTATGTATGTATCTATGATACACTACACGAGTATGCTTGCTATCTATCTCCATCTATCCATCAGATGTACTTATTTACTTGATTACTAGTATGAGTACTCGAGTATGTAAGTCTTATATCCAGTTCAATGTCTCCTCCCTAATAACATACATATAACATACCATGATATGATACGATAGGTTACGATTTCCTATACTATGCTATGCTATGCTATGTTTTATGTGCCAAACATATACATTACAGTACATATAAGATTACATGAGTATAAAAGAAAAGCCAAAAAAGGCCAAAAAAGCACTTCCGATGAAAAATAGATTGGGGAAGAAAAGTTGAATACAATACATACTCGAGTACATTACATACAACATATACAATAAAACAGCACACCTCATGCACTCATGCCATGCCATGCCATGCCATGCTATACCATCCCATCCCATTCTTTTTTACGTGCTAGTTTCTTATATTTATCTCGTATACCTCGCCGGCATTTTTCTCGTTCTTCGTGTTCTTCTCACTGCTTCATCATCTTCTTCTTCTTCATCATCTTCATCTTCTGCATCTCCCATTTCGATATCCGATGAGAGTTTGCCGATGAACGTTTCGTCTTCTACGTCGCTGTCTTGTATTATATCTGGGTAGAGCGATGGGTCGATATCCATCATCATCTCATCGCCATCTCCATCAATTTCTCCATCTTCTTGATCCCCATGAGGATTCGACAGTCCCGCAACAGCAAGGTGCGGCTCCACTCTCGCTTTTTTACTAGCCTTCCCCCTCGGCCTCCCTCTCTTCCCCTTTGTGGATACTCCCCCCTCTAGCGCCTCCACAATCTCGCGAGCTTTTTCCCTCCGAGCCCCCCTCCTCCCACTCAACCCATCGAGCTCCGCCAGCGCCGCCTCTCCCGTAACCACTCCCTGATTTGCTTGCGGCATCTTCCCTTTGCCATCCCCGATTTTCTTATCCAAGCCTTGAATTTCCGCAAATTTCTTGCCGTAGTTGAAGAATAATTCTTCTCCAATTTTGATGTCACGACTGGCGCGGAATTCAATCCGATGCTCTCCATGCACCAGTAGAATTTTCGCAATACAATTGAGCCCATCGGCCTCCGTCTCCGCGTGATTGATGAATCGGGTTTTATTCCCCATTCGTGCACCATCTATAATCCATTCCTTGTTCAGATCGAAGAGAAAACTTGAATACTTGCGATCGTATATCACTCCCCGACGGTTAGCTTCATTTTCCGAAATCACCTCTCCAGCATATTCATGAAGAAAATCCCCTTTCTTGATCGGTTCCGCGGTGAACAGGCCGAAGCCGACGCCTTGGAGTTGAGATTTTCCCAAAATGAGCTTTTTATTGACTCCACGTTGTAGTGCTATATTCTGACAACCATTTTGGAAAAGTCCTTCCTTGTGCCGATTCTGCGGTCGAGTGCGATCTAGTGAGCCACAGCTATCGCACTGTTCACCGCATTCGCGGTTCATCTGGAAGCAAATGCAGGTATCCGAGGCGCAAGCGAGACCCTCGGCATGACAAGAACAGCCCGCGAATCGTCGTCCACAGTCATCGGGACAGCCACAGAAATGTTCGCAGAGAATGTTCTGGATGACGCAATGGCAGTCCATCTCGCGACGACATGGACCATCGTGCACACATGGGGCCGGTTGAACGCGTTTATCATGCATGTGCGCTGTGGTGTCATCTTGCCAGCCTGGCTTGAGACCGCGATTTCTGGGCACGGCTTTAGGGTCGTACCATTCCGCAGGCTCAATTTTCTGTTTCTTAGGAAGAGCTCGACTCCTGTTGACGGGGGCTTGGTCCTCGAGGTCGAGGATTTTGGAATATATTTGCCAGCAGGGCTTATCGACGATGTCTACAAGACTGCAAGGTTTGTTAGGTTTGACTGCTAATAGAATATTTTTGAGCTCGTTCTCCTCTTCTTGGGTCCAGGCATAGTTAGTCCATATAGTTCTTCCTCGGTAACACTCGTCGCTACATGCTTTTGCGGTGTCTTTATCGGTGTTCCAATGCTCTGGGTGCCAGTTCTCGTTCTTTTTGCTGTGATCTCGAGCATTGTGTTTTCGTCTGACATCTGGATAATGCATAACGAGCTTGTCCCATACGTATTCGTAATCTGACTTTTTGAATGATCGGCCAGCAGGAGAACCGACTTCGGAGGAATCATCACTTGAAATGTCTTTGTTGATTTTCAGATAATTATACTCACCATGAGTTGTGCAAGCGGCACCTAGGCAGATTAGACAGGTAAATTGCGCCACGGTCTCCAGTCGTTCTGGGGGAGATGGCCGATCGGCTGATCGCTCACATGATTGGGCTGCTCTCGATGATTCGACCAGCTCTTTGAACCGGGATTGAGACAGGACCACATCATCCAGATCAACTCCAAAGGCTTCGGTCATTTCTTCGACAATCAACACCATTTTCTTATACAACTCTCCAGTTAAAGGGCCGCCGAGTGTCTTGAGGACGAATTTCTCTTCTTCTTTAGGGTATGACAATCTTTGAGACTCATGTCCCAAATAGTATCGAACAAGTGCAGGCCTATTGCAATTGTCGTAACCGATCCCTTCTAAAAAGTCATCTAAGTGTCTGTCGATCTGAGATACCCTTTCCTTCTCTCTTGGGTCACTATTTCTTTCAGTATAAGCTGTGTTTAAGTCCTTTACAAATTTTTCCGCTGACTCCTTCTTATTATGTATAGCATTACCAGTGTCGACTATTGGAATATAACGAAGCGTTTCATCATCTCCGGTGAGGTGATTTCGTATTACATTGATATGATGGGTGTAAGCAGGTGTTCGATCCACGCCACCATGCCCCACTACTATTGGTATAACGTAAGTTGGGATTTTGTCTTTCCTGGTAGTCTAGTTTGGTTAGTAAAGACCAAACGATATGCTTTTGCATTACTTACTCGTATGTCCAGTTTTACAGCCCCCTCGGCATTTTCGTCTGCTGCTTTTAAGGATGCAAAGGGGCTTTCCTCGTCCAGATTATCTAATTTCATCGCTGTTTGGGCGCGCAGCCGTCGTTTCTCCAGAATAGATCTGATGCTTAGGCCACGATCTTCCGTCATAGTCTCCTCTAAGTTTGCCAGACTTCGTTTCATCTCGTCAACTGACAATCCTTGATACTCTATTTTGGACGGTCCACCTAGGGTTAAACACTTTCCCTTTGATATGAGAGTCATGTGGCTTTCCGATTGTCCACATCTCTCCTTTCCAGCATCGAGGATAGGTGAAGCAGAGCGAGGGGATGGAGGCTTCGATACTAAGTTTTGGTTTGTATCTTGACCTCTTTTTCTTCTCCTTCGAGGTAGTGGCTGAATATCGTCGTCTTCGTCATCCGAAGCTTCACTGTCGATACTTCTTCCTCCAGTAGCATTGTTCCTTTCATGTCTCTGCTTCTCCCAGGCTGGTCCGCGTCTCGCACCGCCATGATTCCCTTTCTTTTTGTAAGGGGTCTTTCGAGCTTTGGAACTATCAGTGCCGCTCGGAAATTCATAATCTATGATCTCGTTTTCAGTACGATCTGGGTTATCATTCCCATCTGGCTGCAAAACCATGCTTAGTATTTTGCCATTCCCATCATGATTTCCAGCATCGTCGTCTTTATCGGTGTTCCTAGCATTTTCTCTTGCCGGTATATAATCCTCTGCCCTCCTTTCCACAACTTTACGAGTGATTCGAGGAACTTCTTCTCGTGTCAATAGATTCGAGTTCGTGTCTTCCTTTTCTATTGATCTAGAACACCCTGCCTCGCCATCCAGACGGGATTCCAGAAAGAGACTTTGCTTCTTGTGTAAATCAAGTTCCGCTCGGGATTCATTGTCATTTTGACTTCCAGATCTACCTCTATCAATCTGAATAATTGATGGCGCGTCTCTTGCGAAAACTGGAGATTCTTTGATTCCGAGTGATATAGATGCTATAGGGCACTGCGGTCTTGGCGTTGCAACCTTTTCAGAATCAAGGTGGACGGGTGGAATATTCGAAGCAGGCACCTTCCCCGCAGTAGATATGTTCAGTTGCGATGGGCCGGCCGTTGAAAGTGAGGTAGCCTTTGATTTTGGTTGCTGGCCTATAACATGAGAAAGGTTCAAAATAGATCCTGATTTTGGCAAAATCCCGTGACCTCCCAATGCTCCTGGTGTTGATCTTGCTGAACTGGGCGCAGAATTAATTTTATTTTGTGTCGAATGAGAAGTAACGGGAGCAAATGATCCAGAGCTGGATTTTCGGTGTGAGACCATAACTGTTTTCCGTGCAGTACCTTGTCTTAGAGGAACACTGCTTGCCACCCCTCCGCTGTTAGATTTTGATCTCGAAGGTGACCTTCTAGTCATAGCATCAGTCTTGGGATTGTCATCAACCTTTTTTGAAAGTGACCCTGATACTTTTGTACGAAGTTCGTCGTCGGATTCACCCCCCGACAAAAGGCTGTATATTCCTCCATTTTGATATTTTGGAACCCTTGTTCTGGGCTTTGCTGAAGCGTTTGGTGGCGAATTTAGTGACAATTTTACCTCTGCTTGTGGCTTTGATAATACTGGTGTCTTTGCCGGCGCAGAAGGTTCGTCATCGGATGATATTGACAAATCAATGAAGGACTTGTTACTTTTCTTCTTGAGTTTCTCATTGCGCTTCTTACTATCTTCGCTGTCCTCATCATTATCCCCTGTGAGATCAATGAACATGGATGAAGCCAGATTTCTGCGACCTCCTCCAGTGGAGCGCGATGCACCGCTACCATTGGCACCAGACATTTCGGGGACAGTTTCCTGAAAGTCAGGCTCGCCTCGGATTAACTTCTTCTACCTGTCGATACGATATGCTACCTCCTGAACAAGCAAGTTTCAACAACGGCTATCCGACTCATAATAGCATTCCTTTTGCTTCTGCTTTGGCGTAGAGTTTTGGGTTTTGGGTTTTGGGTTTTGGGTTTTAAAATGTCGCACGAGTTGACAAGGTCAAGAAGAAAACTTTCAAGTAACGTGATTTTAGTAAAAAGATCTAGAAAGTGAATGGATGAAATTGAATGGAAAAGTGTGAAAATATCATCAGTTTTGTGAGTACGAGGAAAGAGCTTTGCCCCACGACAAATTTAGATTCGGGATCCAGAAAGCATAAGTAGGCTAGAAGTGTGTTATGATCCAAAAGGACGACCGAGATGGTCGGTTTGACTGTACGGGATCTAATCCTCTTCGCGTCTTGATGCTGCTATTGACCTTGGTAAACTTAAGTTTAATGTTCTAAGCCGGTTTATTTGTTGCGGTTTCTGGTAGTACCAAGAACATAATAAGATGAGGAAGTATTATAAGGATGAATTTATCTCTATGATGGAGAAGTTCGCTTCTTTATTGTTTCAGTATAAACAGATTTGCAGATTGGGCTTGTGAGGTGTGAGGTTGCACGACATATTTTGAGTATTACATAAGCGAGCGGCCGAGTTTCCTATAGTCCTAGTTCAACAATTTAAGATAAAGACTCATCTATTGGTCTCTTTTATTTAAGATTTCTGAAATTATTCTCACAAATGCGACTTGAGCAAGGTTTAATACTTAATAAACAATAATTATATATAATAAATAAACAATCATGTGTTTGTTTATTATATAAGTAATAACTAGACGAGAATCTACTTAGTATTTATTATTATTACTCTTGAATATATTAGAGATGCTATCTAGGCCCTATAGATATACTAGGTTAGGCTAGGCGCTAGACTAGGGTAAGAGTAAAGAACTTTCTTATTCTTATAGTTATTCGATATCTAAGATTCTATACTTTTATTTCGTAATATATAATACGAGCTTGGCTCCGGCCTCTTCAGGGCCTATGAGTCCTAAATGGGCCTCCACCTTCACTCGTGCTGCGCAGCTATAGGATTATATAGTTTATTAAATTCTATTGTTATATATTCAATATAAATATGAATTTTGAAGCTATTCAGATCATTTTCTTTGAATTTTGAAAGGGGTAGCCTGTGCACCAAGCTTGCTTTAGACTAAAATGTGGGGTAAATTTGAGCTCTAAACTTCGAATTCTGAATTCTGAACTTTGAACTCTGTTTGAACTCTAAATCTGAATCTGAATCTGAATATGATATAAGTAGCGTGAGCACAGTTGTAATCCGCCCCTACCCTCGCTTTAGGCTCGGGGGACTGATGCATTCGCTGATAATGAAGTTGAAATATTGAAGCTATTCAGAGTTTTGAAGGGGTGGCCTGTGCATATTTAGCTTCGAATTCTGATTAGAAATAGAGATATCCAATCAGAATCAGAAATATGTTTACAGAAATTTCGGTGCTTTTCGATTCGCAATCTTTCAAAACACTTCAATAATCATTTATTCAACAATAATTGAAGTTATAAATATGAAAATTAGATTGTTGAAAACCTTATAGCTGAATGAATCTGATTATATATTTGAATAATATTTCAAATATTGTTATACTCGATTATATTGCTTGAAAACTTTTCTTAAACTTGATATTCTTATATTAACTAACGTGGTTTATCATGACCCTGCGCA